TGTTTGCATTTGTATGCGTAATTAGAATCCCGCCACACACATCGCATTTAATCCTTTAAATGCCAGCGCATTTTCCTCGTACAAACATTTACACGCTTGTGCGGAAAAAAGGATAGGCGAGTACGAGTAATTAAAATGCTTTTAAAAAATGCGCGTAAAAAATTCTGAAAAGTAAATAAATTAAGAGAAATACACTAAAAAATAAGCTTGGTTGGTTGGTTGGTAGCAGCTGTTTTATGGCATAAAAATACAAAAATTTATTTTCGCATTTAAAACCATAAAACGAAGGCAGCCTTAAGCCGCTTAAGTGAAAGTGCTTCAGCCGTCAGCCAACAGCCAACAGCCTCAAAAAGTACAAATGGCCTAAAGTGTTGCGACTTAGTTGTACATATGAACGATATTTTTAAAAAATACACACCAGCTTAAAAACATTCTGAGGCCCGCGTCCAAACATACTCGTACACTCGTACACTCGTATCTGCTCGTACAAGATTACTGCTTAAGTATTGATATGCTTACCTTAAAAATTTTTTTTAAATATTGATGCCGGATAGAGTAATACTGCTGAGATATAGTAATTTTTTTTTAATATCCCAGCCTTTTATTGAGACACATATCGACGCTAACACGTCCAACATGAAACGAAGTTCACTTAAATCTTCAGAAGTAATTCCATTGTGAATGCTCTTATAGCACTTCAATAAAGTGCCAGGAGAAGAAATACGTAGACATATTTGAATATTTTACGTAGACATAGAGTTGATATTAAATAATAATAATAATTACAATATAGGAAAATAAACTCCCCAAAAGTTTAACGTCACTAAAATGTTTACCTATGATTTCCGCTAAATATCAAATAGCAGAATATCAAGAAAAGAACAAGAATTCTTGCTTAGGAGCAAGATATTCTGCTTCTAGCAATTTCTGTGCTTTTGTTAGGAGCAAAATTTTGCTGTCAGTTAAAGTCTGTAGATTGATTTCAACTGATACGTTTTATTCGAAAACCACAGTGTGAGACTTGAAGCCACTTATACTACCACTTAGGATGAATAGAGAATAGATTCCAAGCTAGGGACCGTGAAGGTCTAGGTCTAGGAATCCCATTCCAGTTTTAACGTTGGAAGTAGAAAACTACTAAAACTACCGTGAAGGTCCAGGTCTAGGAATCCCATTCCAGTTTCAACGTTGGCAATGGAAAACTTTTTGTAAGGCTTAACATTTACAAAGTAAATATATCTAAGCCATGAAGATCGGATTACTACAACAGGAGGGGCGTATTATTACTTAAGTTGAAGCAACTTAAGGATTTGAGGGGCTTTTTATGGGTACTTACGTAGAAGGGGATTACTATAAAGACGGTTGTAAAGCGAGATTACAGGGGGAGAGCGGGCAATGTCGTCCAGGTGGAGGGACAGGAGCTGGGGAGGTTTATGGAGAGTAACAGATCTGTTGGTAACTGATCAGGTTGATACTTTTATTCAAATTTTGTTCTGCTTTTATGCAATTTTATTAGAATTTTTAGTCCCATTATAACACAAGTATTCTACTTAACATAACTTCCTTAATCTAGAATTCTGAACATAATCATAACTTTTTTAAGTTAATTTAATTAACACAACTTTCTTAGCATAACTTTCTTAACATAACTTTTAACATAACTTATTTAACATAAATTGATCTTAACATAACTTGTCAGAACACAATGAGAATTCTTTGAAAATTGTCATAACGTTAACAGCATTAATAAGGTAAAATCTCTACAAGCATTATACAATGTTTAAGTACTCTACATAGCAATTACACAGCAACTGAAGATTTTGCAATAAATAAATAAATCTGCCTTTGCCAATCAACTTTGCTAAGAAACGATCTCCTGATCATCGGAGTGAGTTGACTGTAGTCTTGGACAGAGAAATACTGATTGATTGATTGATAGACGTTTGGCAAACCCTTACTGTAGTTGTACCTCCCTACATTTCACATATCTTAATGAAAATAATAAACACAATACATATGTACCTCCGATTTCCTTTCAGATGGTCCGTTACCTTATTTATCAAAACTTTAAGTTGGATTAAGAGAACTTCTTGGTAAGTGATAAAAAGATGGACAGGAAAAAAAATATGAGTAATGTTTTCTCTTTCTTCTCTGACTTACTGTCTACTTTCTCCAGTAGCTGTAAACCGATTAGAGAATAGCCAATCTATTACGATGATCAAGAAATTAAAATAAATAGATGTTGAAGAATAGTCTTTACTTACATTCAATTAAATTTTACTTCATAGGGAATGATCTAAGCGATCGTACACTCCTTAAAGAATCAAGAGAACTCATAATAGTTGGGTTTATTGGAGACGATATTGCGATTAACAATGTAATGTTTTGAAATTTTTTTTTTTATCTCAAAAGTAATATCGAACTAGTGTTTACAGTATATATAATATGTTACATCCACTAATATTAGTACTATCTAAATTAAAAAAGAGAAGTTTACCAATATGATTGGTATCTAATATGCACTATGTTTATTTAAAAAAAATACATAGTCATGTTCATTGCAATTCTTTTAATCTTGTGCAATGGGCTAAGCAAGAGAAAATTAAAAATATTCACCACATCAGAAAAACACATTAATTTAGAGGATTTTGGATAATGTTTTCATAGCAATCATGAAACCAAACACCAAATCGCAAATACCAGGAACTTGTCAGAAAAGAAACGACAGCCTTATTTTAGTTGTGAATATTTTGAGCGGGATTGTTAGCAGGTGGATTGGCGCCGCCAATATTACCATGACCAGCTTGCTGTTGTGCCTCCTCTACTTGATTTATGTGCTTAAATTTTCAATTAATTTAATTTTAATTTAAGAGTAATTATAATGCTGAACTTACTGCTATTGCCTCAAGAATAACATTAACAATTGCCAGAATTAATTGAACAAACAACACATAAACAACCAGATCCAAGACTATATCCATCAGAAATATGGTACTCGCCAACGGAGCTTTTTTTACAACATTCGTAAATTGGTATACTGACATTTCGACTATTAATTTAGTTCCATTTCACTCTTAATAATTTAGATATATTATATTCTGTTCACTTCAGAAAAATGATCAAATAAAAAATTTATGTTTAGAAAATATATTTACATGCTTAATAAATTTTCATAGGCTACTTGAGTTATGAAGGATGAAAACATTTAGAATCGTTTCTTTCTTAATTTAAAAAACACAGGTGTTAAAGTATATGATGAGAATTTCAAATGTCCATAAATTTAAACTGTCATACCACATTTTGCTTTATGACATCTTACACTGTATAGAGCGCTATTTTAAGCATAGGTAATACATAGTCCGTGAAGGTTTTGAGTTTCATGGACGTGGCCATGATCACAAGCCAATCGAGAACGTACGCCGAGCGTGTTTAAAAATATGCAACATATAAGAACAAATGACTACCTTCTAGAAGGTCAATGATTATCTTTTAGAAAGTCAGACTGAATATAGAATATTATCTAAGAGTTCTAAACAATTGTGGGCAATAATTTCATCTGAATACTGAGGGTCAGAAAGGTAGTTTTTGTTGCACAATGAAGCACTAGACCACAAAGCTGTAACACTACATAAGTTCTTGATTAAAAAAAAATGTCATACTAATAGAACATCTAATGTATTTAAATGATTTATTTTCGAGCAACTTTTTGCTATATTCCAAATTAGAACTTAAGATGATAGAACACTGTTTCGATATTATTCGATATTCGATATTATTTATACGACGTATCAAATCCAACTCAGGCTGGTGAGTATAAAAAAAAGTTTTGATATGTAACGTTTGCAGCATTGTGTTGACTCGGTAGGAGTCTATTTCAAATAAATGAGAATAAATTTTCAAAATAATGAAACCACCTTTTATACTATTCTGTTAGAAAGATTGTGTGTGACACAAGGAAAATGCATTAGCGTTAATAAAAATTATTCTTAAGAATCATATTTAATTAATTTAGATTAATAGGCTCCAAAAGGATCTCAAAAGGCTCCTAGGTTCGGTTCGGTTAGGTTGCCGTTCGAAAACTTACTTAGACTATGAGGTCCTTTGTGATACCCTTAAGAAGTTGACACCTGTCACTATATCCATATGGATTGGCCACAATGTTATTGACACGAGCTATGGAAACAGAATCTAGCTCTCTTTATGTCTCGCGAAAGCAAGACACTGTAACAGAAGGTGTATTGGTGATTCCTCTTCATCATCCTCCAGTGCAAGGAGAATGTCCCCAGTGCAAGGAGAATTCCCACTATCTTGGATAAATTTGTTCGGGATAGGTTGATTAATTCTCCTGATTTTTTCTTACTAATTTCTGGCTAAAAATCATTAGTTCTTATGCAGTTGGTCACTGTTGAACATTTTCCTTCAAACATCTGGTGTGTCCATAATTAGATGCCAACAGGAAGCAAGTGTTATACCCACACTTTCTGTTTCGAGAAGAATTTGTGCGGTCGTACCATATCTTGCTAGTTCATCTGCTATACAGTTGCCTTGGCTCTTAATACCGTACATGTATTTCATGATGAGTGGTCGATTTTAAGTATTTATAGAGCAGCAGGGCATCAAAGTGTTATATGTCATTGTCAATATCGAAAAGGCATTTTTACTATTATGTCAATATCGAAAATGCATTATTGATCATATTGCAGAAAGCCTCATTTATGAAAGTAATTAATTTATTAAGACTTTCTTAAGGCACACTATATTCAGGGCTACAAAAATTAACAAAATGATGCTTTGTAAAAATAAATATTAAAAATATTAATCTTAAAATATTAAAAAGTTTGCAATTATATAGTTTATATACAGTCGAAATATTTTAGTCTTTCGTTTCGATGAATCATTTAATTGTTTAACATATATTAATCGCTTTTTGATCTATTCAAATATTACACTTATGGTGTGCAACTTGGTTTTAAAAAACTCAAGAAAAAAGATTTACTTACTCAATATTATAATCAAACAGACAAAAATGGCACCCAAAGCACCCATACTAAGCTTCAGGCGTTGACCCTCTTGTACTAGCTCACAGTTTTCACCCCAATATCCCTCGGGGCATATGCAGCGGTAACGTAGACGTGGTTCCAGATTTATGCATGTAGCACCATTCAAGCAGGGCAGGTCAAGACATTCGTTACGATCAACGCAGCCTTTGGTATCTGCAGACATAACGCGTCCTTCACTGCAACTAAAAGGAAAACATTGAAAATGAATTGAAGTGATTAAATTAAGTTAATTAAACAAAATGGAAAAAAAAGTTTAATTAGATTAATTTAAAAATTAGTTTATATATGTTTCGACAATATATCACAATGACGTATGGCGTTGCTTTGCCAAATCTCAGAATGGCACAAAGTAGCAAATATTCGACTATTAAATATTTGTGAAAACGTTCTAAAAATAAATGAGAAGTTTAGCAAGTAAGAAGTCCTTAACTGAGTAACTGAGATAGTTGAAATTGCAGGAATCAATTTAAGTTCTTGAAAGTTTTCTTTTTGGTTTTTAGTGTCATGTCCTGCTGCGTGTTTGCAGTATCGAAATCAAAAGAAAGCAGCAGTTAGCGTTGCCAACTCATTGTGAGAATTTGTGGTATTATTTGCAGTTTATAAAATTAAAAAAAAAAATTATGTTGAAAAGTGCTTAAGGAACAGAAAATGGCCGGAACTGAAAGAGACAGAAAAAATCTGGAAGTGACAGTGGAAAAAGGCAAAGCGGACAGTAGCAGAAAATTAAATCAAATTTAATGAAGTGTAAAGCGCCCAGTCAGCAGCAAGTAAAACAAAAAAAAAAAAAAAACAAAAAAAAAAAATTAAGAAAGAAGTATTAAGTCAAGCCTGAGTCAGTGTAAAACCATAATGGATGGTACATATATATGCAATGAACGCGATTCTCGCAATTCTACATAAAAGAGTCGGTAGTCGCATATAGTATGTATAGTAGGTATGTGTGTACATATTGCAATTTATTATTTTACTTAAGCGGAAAAACAATATAAACGGTAAATGCCATTTAATGAAACGTACGAAACAGTGGGAAGCTCTGCTGTAATCATAAAATGAAGAAACGGAAAAGGATTTTTTTATTTGCGAACATCCAACTGACTTAAAGTCAAAGGATGCCATTTTCGACTTAAAACACACTCACTGCCAACGAACGAGTGTGTTCAGTGTCCGGTGCAATATGTGAAGAAAATTTAAATGTGGTTTGATGTACCGAGTTTACTCAGCGAGCAGTAAAAAGGCGTTTATTGCACATGTACGACACTGAAATCTGCAGCCATTTTAAAATGTCCAGCACTTCCTCACAGGACCACGTAAATATTTTATATGCATATACGCGTATTTCGGCTAAAGTATTTGTAAATGGTTGAATCCAATTAACGTCTTTACGTGTTTTTATAAACTTTTTATAATGATACGTTAAAAATCAGATTTACTGACATTATATTAACTGTCAAACTTTACTGACAGGACCTTTACTGCTCTACACATTTACATATACGCATACATATACACGTTCATACATACGTACATACATACATACATAAATGTATATTATGCATTAAATTGTAGTAAGTTTTTATAGACTTTTTGTTGTTGGAAAAATGCAGTAGTAGTTTTAAATTGAAAAAAATTTTATATATTTTGGTTTTTTGTGGGTTGTATGTAGATGGCTTTTAATGGAGAGAGAGAGATAAATTTAATTGGAAATGTGAAACGATAATTAAAAACTGAGATTATACATTTAAAGCAGGGCAAGTCCTGAAAATAACAATTCAATTATAATTCAATAAAGTGTTCATAGTACAAGAACTAAAATAATTGTTTTTAAGTTGCCGGTTGGCATAAAATCAGCACGAATGAAAACAAATCCAAGATGAAAGAGGATAAAATCTGATGAAAACGATTATGAACTATTATATGTTATATTAAATATCACAATGAAGAAAGGTTTATATTTCAAACTCGAATTAGTATAAAATATTGGTTTTAAATTTAATTAAAAAAAAAATTGTTTTTAAAAATATTAAAATTTTATTTTAAAAAAAATAAGGTCAAAGTTAAGATGCGCTGACTCTGAGCTTCAAATTTGGCAGAACACGAGTTCAATTCCTCATACTTGTAGCCTTAAAAGTCTTAAAAGTTAGTAACGAATAATTAAATACAAGAATTATTGTCAAGACCACTGATTATGGGTATTTGGCAATACTCGAAACAGCTGCATGGTCAGCCAGGAATTCAATTAATTAAAATAATATAAAATGGGTTTTTGTGGTTGTAGTTCACTACTTTTCGAAAAACTTCTTTATAAAAAATTATTATTTTAAAATTTTTATTTTATATTATTAATAAACATACTTAAATATATTCTGAACTTCAAACTGTACTGACTGTTACTTGCTTACAAACCTTGAGATATTGTACTATGGAAAAAAACTTTAATTTGAATGAAGAAGAAATTTTCAAAACAGTGTTCTATTTTAGAAAATTTTTCTCTAATCTGAACTTTTTTATTATCACTATTTGGCAGAATAAGTAAATCCCTCTTGTCCAAACAATTATTTCGAATGAACATAAGTGCACTGATAATGAGTGTTCACTCAAGAGTGTATTCACTTCTCATAATTATTTAAAACACTAAAAACAGATTGGGCATTTTCTAAGCCCGTGTTCATCATATTCAGCGTACATTGAAGAAGACACATCGGAATATCTGTTGTGTCACTAATCAGACTTATTTAGATCTAGTTTGAACATCTACGTTTAATACTGAAGTTTGTCGATGTGCTCTGGTGAATGAGCGTTTTTGACACACTCACCAAAATTATGAGGTATGTGGGATCAGAACGATTTTTTAGCTAATTGAGGAGTATTAAAACACTGTCCACCTAAACTACTAACGTTTTTTTATGACAAATGTATATTAGAAATATATATAAGAGTTGATAATTTTAATAAATATTAACATTCAAAAGCTAAAAGATACATGCTGTGACATGGTCGTTTGAAATTTTATCGCATTTAATGTCTTATATATGTGCCATTCATATGTAACGATAATGTTATGAGCCATTTAAATATATTAAATTGAATATTTTTGAACTCATTATTTAGCAATAAAAAAAATATAAAAAATTAATTATTCACAGTTAAATTCTTTCACTTGCATATCAGAATATGCTAAAAATAAAACATAATTTCTTCACATTAACTTTTATCATTAATGCACATACCTTATAAAATTTTTCAATACTACAGTTCATAAAATATTTTAATCAACCTCAACGACTGAAGCTGTTGATTACACATCGTGAAGCATAGGGGCTGAATGAGGACATTTCAACTCTTCGTAAAATCTCAAATGTCTTTTTTTCTCATATCAGCAGGGATATGTTGGAAGCAGCTCAGGATAGAGCGGTATGAATACTTCAATTCGTTGCACCCAAATACCTTCACCCAAATTCTCATTCACATCCTAATGCAATATGAATTGTAAATTTCCTACTTCGATGGAATTGGAACGCACAATGCATTTAACTGCACTGAACTATATTGAACTATTCGCACTTCTTGCACTTTGCATGCAACTTAAATCTAATGATGTGGAAAATATTTACCGCATGATTCAAATTTCACACGTTGAAATTACTTAAGCTATAGTATCTGTCTGTCCTATGGCTTGTCCGTCCATCCATATGATTTCGACTCATCTGGTATTTTTTTTTCTATTATCATCTTTGTTTGTATGTTTGTTAGTTGGTTCGTTATTCTGTTTGCTTATTTATTCGCAATTTGGTTTGATTGTTTATATATTTGAATCAGCGCACAGGATCATCATCATACGAAATGCATAGAATTGCATAGAAACGCATAATCAGCATATGCGACATATTCCTCGTTGCAAGGACACAAGACTGCTACAGCAGCCATGATGGAGCAGCAAACTATTGGTGACTGTGAATATATCTAAATTTGCTTAATGTTCGAGTGACAATAAAATTGTGGAGTTTGCTGGGAATAGCATCAAACTGCACATAAATGAACTTCATTTACATAGGAATTACACAATACAGAATGGAATGGAATCGATTAGTTGATAAATTTTTTGTTCACTTGTTCTAAAGTTTGTTTTACTAAATAAATTTTCTGCAATTTTCAATGGAGAAATTATTGTGGTTAAATAGTCTCTACAGTTTTTGATAATAATTTGTAAATATTTTATTTACCATTTTTGGGAAAAAAGATGAAAATTATGGTGGTAATTGTCATATTCTAATCAATAATTTGTCATACAAATGAAAGAAATTAATTTTCTCATAACATCAGCATAGACAGATTCAGTATGGAAATTCAATAGAAATAGAAACTATAATGTAGAAAGCATATCTTTCCCTATCAACTAGATTACTTTAAGTGTGGTAGTTTTATTTGAAAAACAAAAATTGGGATTCATTTGCTTAGATCGTAATTTTAGTGCATAAGGTTGTCACTTCAATGTAACCTAACCTAACCTCACCTAACCTAACCTTACCTAACCTCACCTAACCTAACCTTACCTAACCTAACCTAACCTAACCTAACCTAACCTAACCTAACCTAACCTAACCTAACCTAACCTAACCTAACCTAACCTGAGATTCAGTGTCAAGTAAACATATTATATGAGAGCTATTTGACAACTTGCGAATACATATAGCTTACTCTTAATTTACTTATATAGACACTTTCTATACATACGAAGCCCATCAAATTCCCTCAAAACGCAAAAAGAGATCTATAATATGACTACTAAAATTAAAAAAAAATATTGTATTGTGAGTGGAGCTTATACTTGTATTAAGTTGATTATGGTTCCAAAATCACAAAAAATATATTTAGGTATATAACATATTCACAAAGTCGAAACTCTTGCAATTACATATTATATAGTTATTACAGAGAAAATCTTTTGTTTTCCTGTCTGAAATCCATCATTGAGTCCATCATAAATAATTATCTTCTTCTTATTACTTCTGATTTTAAAGTTAATACTCTATGCCGGATCAGGTCCACAGAGTATCAATAAAAATTTTGTAACCACTGGAGTAGAAAAAGAGATGTTTTCAAATCTTTTGGATGCGGCAGTAGCATTTGCGAAGATAGAACACCATAAAGGTTTATTACTTAAATTAAACTTGTATTTCGCATATGAAAAAGTGCTCTGACAAAGCTACACGCCATCTGATGACACTTATAAATCAAGTAGAGAAATGAAGACTTAAATTTAGAGGCCATGAAAATGAGCGTACCACGAAGGCAAACTCCGAATGGGTGCGGCATTCTATATTATGCACTATATGAATTGTAATATAATTGACCGTTGTTAAAATTTTTAAGTTTTAAGTGATTTTACAGCAAAGTTTATTTTAAAAACTGAAAAAAATCGTAATGAAAATATCTCCGCTTTCAATTCATTCGTTCTACTTGAATGCATTAATCATCGAAATTTGGTCGGAAATAAATCAGTGCTAAGCAATGGAATTAGTGCAAGTAGTGTAAGAATTCATTGTACTTACGTGCATTCATACTCGTTCCACAAATCAACGCAATCGAACGGATCCGGGCAGATAACATTCGAACATGGACGATTCGATGGACAATTACGTTCCAAGTTGCGCGCCATTGTCGCCTGACCCCACTGCGTGCCATTCATGGAGGGTGGTAAGGGTAAATGCTTGCCATCGAGTCTGCCAAAAAATTAGATTAAAATGTATTAGCAAAGATTGTAAGCAAGAAAATGTGTGATTAGAAAATAAAAAGAATTAAAAAAATGATTTGAATTGAAATAAAAATAAAAATTGAAAATAAAAATGCTTAATTAAATTAAATGCAAAAAAAACAACAAACAACTAAGAAAATGCAATTGGTGCCGCAGGCAGGATGCAGTCAACAGTAGCGAAGGAGCAACAAGGTTTCGAAATGTAGTGTGTAGAGGTGGTCATGTTGCCAATGGTGCTGATGGTGGTTATTATCATAGCGTTGGCAAGGCATTGTTTTGAACATTAACGCAATTTATAGCATGTTGGAGCTCAACCGAGCGTTGCAAATATATGTGTTATTTGTTCCCATGCCGCACCTTCAACAGAGACACAACTTGACCACACTACACTCCAATAAACTTTACGTGCCCCACGTTATGCTATATGCATCCACCTACACCTACTATATATGTTCACATATTTATGTACTTTGGTGTCATGTAAAAAAAGTGAATTTTGACCAATTGTGCTTTTAGGTTAGAACACGAATATTCCTTCAATTTTTACAATTTTTTAAACTCATATTAATATGATTTGATACTTAACTTGTTTTTGTTTTTGCTTTCATTTATGATTTAAAATGCTACACATTTTTATTCAATTATTGCAGTGTACTTATTCCTAGTGATGCTTACCTGATATCATCGAGGCAGCTCTTTTGAAAATCCGCCTGCACTTCAAAAGTTTTAACGCCAGTGTATTCGGCTTTGCCGCCAGCATAAACGCCCTCCTGTTTATCGATAGACAACCACTGATGGCCAACGTAATTAAATGTTTCATTATAACGCCGTCCCTCACCACCGTCCAGTTCAAGTATCGCTGCTGAGCCGAAACGGTTCACACGCACCACATGCCATTGGCCATCATTGACAGGGATGGCGCTCAATGTTAATTGTTGCTCCTCCGCTCTTAATGAATTTAAATTGTAACGAAATTGCAGCTGCCCTTGCTTAAGTTCAAGTATGGCATATTCTCGTTGGTGCTGATCACTGACTCGGAATAGTTCGCCCTGCAGCTCGCGGGTACGAAAACGCAGTTGCAGTTGTGTACTAAAGCGGTCTGGTTCGAAGCTTAGCGCGTATTTTACATAGCTTTGTGGCTTAAAAGTAGTTGGTATGGTGGGTATATTACATGTTGGTCCTGTCCAACCGGGTTGACAAAGACATTTCGCTTGTACTAGACTCGCAACGCAATTTCCTTGCTCCCAGCAGCGTGCAGTGTGTTCGGTTTTCAAACACACTTCGTCAGTTTGTGGGCAAGAGGGGTAGCTGTTGCGTGAGAGTGCAGGGAAAGCGAGATCGTAATGTTGTGAATTGTGATGGACATTGCGTATGCAACCATCAAATCCCTTGGATGTAAATGCATATTGCCAATGGTAAAGTGATTGATCGAAATGCTGGCGATATAGACCACCCAATTGCAGTGGCACATTAAGATTGAGTGTTTCTCTAAACGGTGGTATTTGCCCGCGTGCTTGACACGAATTGTCATCGAATTCCGGTGCTGAACCGTCTTCCATTTCATATACCTCTGCTGTGCGGCAGAAATCCACAACCATGCGAACATTTTCAGTGTCCCAAAAAATGTCTAAGCGATGCCAGACTCCATCATCAAGTGTTTTTTTAGTCTTAACACGTAGTTCTAAAGTACCCGAACCGAAATCGATTAACATACGCGGGTAGCCTTGCTCAAGTTCAATGGCAATGAAATCAGTCAGTAGCATTTCCCCAGACTTCGGTGGCACAATTGGTCCATTGTACAGCACCAAACCATCAGGTTCGCGTGTTATGAATTCAAGACTTAGGTGTGACTCATCACACAGTTGTAATGGTGGATACCAGGCCCAACCATTACCGCGAAAACTACGCGTCGATTGTTGGCAACGCGGTCCATTATAGCCAACAGGGCAAGCTACACATTTTGGACCACTTCGCGCTTCAACGCAGCGACCACCATTGAAACAATAATGTTGCCGACAGGTGTGATCCTTGCTGAAATTTCGTGCTCTGCATATGCACTCCGCATTTATATCTAAACGCACACCCACTAACGCCGTTTTGTTTGCATTAACTGTGTAAGGAACCTTATTTATTTCAACGCGATTTGAGCAAGAACCTTCGCAACGTCTTTGCTCGTACAAACACTCATCAATGCCCACCATCGTTATGTTGAGACCCACATCCTTTTCAATTTCTTCACGATGCATCAGCACAATGCCATTCAATCGTACCGCTTTGAAATATGGTTGCTGATTCGTTGAGCGTGCCGAGAAATGCACATCTGTGTAGAGTGGGTGCTCAGACTTGAGTTGCACACTAAAAACATCCACATTTTCACGATCTGTGTACAATAGTTCTGCTAACTTTTCACGGAATCGTTCTAACTTCGAACGCTGCGTTGTGTGTTGTACGTAATTCCAAACCCGTATGAAATCGTCATCACTAATGCCGGCTAGGCGCATCGAGCCGGCTTGCTGAACAGCTTCTTGGGTTATATCACGCACTACAACTGTTATATTCGCTGGTATATCAACCTGACCGTGCTCACGATCGTAAACTTTGAAGCGTAATTGATAGCGACCACGTCTGGTACCCGCACGCATCGTCAACAAACCAGTCTCTGTATCCAGCTTGAAACGCTGATGTTCTTGTGCCTCCCAATAGTACTTCTTATCCGGCACATCCCAATCATCTAAGTCGTGCACGTACACTCGTCCAATTTGCGTATCGTGCGATTGTCCTTGGTAATTGTAGACGATTATGTCCTTGCTGCCCGGCAGCATTTTATTATCGTTCACATCACCAATGATGACGGTTAACGTGCTAGTGCCGGTCATGGGTGGCGTGCCATTGTCCTTAATTTCGATTGGTATAAGGTATGCTTTTTGCTTTTCACGGTCGAAGGGACGCAATGATGAAATGATGGCTATGCCGTTACCATTGTCACCTCCTGCACAACCGTCGACACAATAGCAGCGGTCGCAGTAATGAAAAACAGTAATGATGACAGCGCAGCACAGTTAAATGAATGGAAATGAATGGAGTTAGTTGGATATTAGTTGACCCGCAACAAGCCCCAGACAAGTTAAGTACCACCGATTTGAGCCGTGCCAAACAAAGACCAGCAAAGACCAGCAAAGACCAGCAAAAACCAGCAGCGAAAGCCAAGTACAGTACGGCGTTCAGTTAATTTTGTTGATTGGCCAACGTATTGAAGTAGATTTTTATGGCGTTTGTTTTATTTTATTTGTTTCATGTCGGATGAGAATGTTGTTTATTTTTCCGTTTAATATTGTTCATCACAATGAAAGGAAAAGAAAGAAAAGAAGAAGAAAAAATTAGCACAAAAATATATAATGGAAATGGCAGGGAATGAAATGAATTGTAAGCTAAGGCAGCAGATTTGAGTAAAGTGTTTGCATTGTAATTGATTAAATTATGCGAATTATCCGCAGCAACAGTCATTTCCGAGCGGTGAAAATAAAAATGGCGACAGATTTTTGCATTTCTTCTTATGCGAATACACACGAGTATCTGCGAAGGCGACGGAAGCAGTAAAGGAAATTCCTATCACAACTAACTGGGTCATACTTACATTTCAGGCACGTCTCCTTAAGTGTTAAAAGTTTTCCGTCCTTAATTGTATTTCTTTCGCCTTTTGGCTGAATAAGGATATTCGTTAACTTGGAACTTGGGCTATGCCTAAAAAACGGTTCATTCCGTGATTGGGCATTTTTTGTTAAATGTTTTATAATTCTAAAATTGTCCAAAATGAAAAAAATTATCCAAAACGAAAAGAAAAAATTATCAAATGTAATTGAAATTTTTCCCAAAAATTATAACCTTAAGGATTTTTTATCGGTTAAAACTGTCAATTTGGTTAGAACTTATGAAAACTTTGAATAATAATAAACGCAGACCTGAATTTTAAACATTGGACACTGAAAATGAAAATGAAAGAAATTCAATGAATTGCAAACCGAAAGAAAGAAAAAGTTAATTAAAATTTTCAAATGACATTTCAAAATTAATTTAGTATGAATAGTTGCAAGCGGATGATTGGCATGGAAAAAAGGATGCGAAATGTTTCAATAAGGACAGCCCGAGGAGCAAAAACGAAATAAAATATAAAATCATATTTCCTTGCCGAGTAATAAATGAAAAGAAAATCATAAATCCAATGGGTTGTGTTTAAAGCAGAAATCTTCTGTCCTAAAGTAAATTTCTTTTAAGATTTTATTTAAATGCTTTGGCTACAGATCTGAGTTTCTGAAGTACTTTTATTGGAGCAAACAATAAATGATGAAATATTATAAAAAAAATATATACACTGATATTTTTTTAAAATATTAATGATGTAATGAATATTAATAAATGGAACTTGTTTTAAATTTAAAATTAAAAAAAATATAAACACAAATATGCATAATATTGGCTACTATACTTAACAAATGGTAAGAGGAGATCGGGAGCAAACCATCGAAATGTGACAACAAACTTGGAATAACAGTACTGGACAGCTAGATGACGATGGACAGCTAGACTGACACCAAATATAATAATTTAGCTCACACGGAAATCGGGAGACATAAATTACTATCGCACTCAGATGTTGACCGGACATGAATACTTTTGTAAGTACATATACCGCATGAGATATTTGGATTCTTATATGATTCAAGTCCTCAAAGCAAAGAAAGTAGACCTAGAAAGGAGATTCAGAAACTAGGCTAATAAATAGTGCAGACACCAAGAATATATGTTGAAAAAGTGAAGGTCTGGAGGCAGACTGAAAATCAAAGAGCATGGCAAAGTAACGCGAAAGCGGGTCGGATATAAGTTTCACCGAAGAGGGGGTGTTTTAGTTCGCATGCTATATATTAATATTAGGAAGTAGGGGATACCATCCCTACATCGGTGAATCTAACGATGGATAAAGCATTCCATATCCTCACCACAATAACAAAAAAAAACAAAAAAAATAAAAAAAATATATATAGTATTTAAATCGATTTATTAAGATTGTAGTGCTTTTTGCCCTTTAATAATAATATTGTAATATTGTAAGATCTTCCTTAAGAGATGTAAGAAAAGAAAACCAGAATAAAACTGTATTGCTTAAAAACCTCAGTATTAAAAGTGTAAATTAATGGGGGCATTCGTTACTTCAGAGCTATAGAAGAGCTTACCTTTTATAAATATGGCAGTATTTTATGAAGTTATAACGACAAAAACGTAGAATGGGTTCGTGTTCTCAATGAACAGGGTATGGTCATGCGCAAAACATCGGCCTATGGTGTGTGGTACTTTATCACACCCTTCCCGAGGTGAATCTGTTTTATTGTTGATAATTTTATTGACATAACAGAACATTATGGATTTAGACGGGAAAACTCGATAAAACCCGTAATTTCCAGTGTTATTCTATCTGTGCCGATGAGATGAATGGCACTACGTTAGTGATACTTTTATTGGCTAATGGTACTTCGTTGACTTGTGATCTTCCATAAATCGTAAAGAGTTTAAAATTAATTTATGAATAATGCAGTTTTTTACAAGGTGAGAACTTTTAGTTGATTAAGATATTCTAATAAATGAACTAATCGTATGTCCAATCAAAGTTAAGTCAGATGTAATGCGTTGCTTCTATCTGCCTCACAGCTCCTGATTCTATGTATAAAAGTTGTTTTTCCAAAATCTAAAATTAGAGATTGGAAAGTAGATCTATATCCTTTAAGATATGGGTTCATAAATCTGTAGTTTATAGATAGAAATAGTTTTTCTTCCAACCCAAAATGCTGTCTTAGCTTAAAAGCTGTTAAGAGCTGGTTTCTTATAAAAAAACGATAACTCCTGAAGGATATAACCGAAGTACAACATAATTTTTTTTTAAAACATTTATTGAAATATTCTCTGTAATAAATTAATAATAACATTTTATTATATTTTTCAAACCTTAGGATTTGGTTTAAACTCCTAATGCTTATTGAGTATTAAAATTCTGTCTTTATTTTATGACGTCCTCAACAAAAGTCAAATCGCATTACATATGCAGTAAAATTTATATATTTTAAGGGATTTACAATTATTTATTACATATTAAATTTACCTAATATCCGAAATGATTGAAAAACCAATTAATGATATAAAATGCAAGTCAGGCTTAAGGACTTTTCAATCCAGTTTATGGTGACAATACGCATGTACATCGAACCAATTAAAGTGCGTGTAAATTTAGTATCTATGTGAAGCAATAGGACAACTTGAAATTTGTAAGAATAAGTTCAGATACTTATTTACACATACGCATAGAGACAATTGTATCTTTAACATGAGTACAAACAGTCAAGTGAAATTCTTTTGAAGGTACGTACATTCGAGTTGTCTGTCTGAGTTAAGACTGAAGTTGTGATTTTGACTTGGTTTGCCGAATAAAGTTTTGAGATTTTGACATGAAAATGTTGGCACTTTGATTACAAAGGACAATTTCGTATTCAATGCATAAATTTTAATTTGAAATTTTACACAAGATTTGTTAGATAAATTGATGAACATGTGAGATGTTAGTTCCCATGTTGTATTTGTGGAAGGCAACCAATTTGCGGTGTCACAACTAAGTGCAGCAACAGCTTATTGTGAAGAAAGTTGCAAAATTGAAGTGCACAGTTGAGTCCTTCGAATATTTAAGGACACATGACAAAACCTAATAGTGGAGCACAATCCACAATGACTTTTAATCTCTTTAAGCACTCTCAATAGCCTTCGTTATAACTATTATTTTCTTTAGTTTTTACATTAATTTAAACCGATTAAAGTACATAATTGCTAGGAATTTTACTACTTCTTGTACTAACGAATAATTAATTGCTAATATTTTAATTATTGTAAAAGGATGTATTGATCAGATCTATTGAATTTTAATGCAGATTTTTTTTAACGATAAATTAAAGAATTATATTTTAATTCGCCTTTTTCAAGGTACAAAAATGTTTTCTAACAGAATGAATTGCGTCTATAACAATATTAGTATTATATAGATATAATTCATTAATTATAAGAGATTTATTTTAGTCGCAATGGTTCTGTTAATTTCCATTCCATGAATAAACCATTTACAGATTAAGCATCTACATTAAGACTGAAAAGTTTTCGGAAATTCTCATTTAAAATTCGCGCGCTGTATATTTTTCGATATTTTAAGTTTATGTAGTTTGGCAGCACTGTCCTTAATTACTATGCCAAAAATGAGCTCGATCTGTCAGACAGTTCGTTTACGGCAGCTGTTGAAACCAGTTCACCTCAGTAGTGCGTTGCGAAATGTCTTCGACGGTCGTACGACCGTCCTGGAAGGCTTTGTACCACTCATAAACTTGAGTTTTCGATAAAACTGATTCCCCATAAGCCTTTTGTAGCATTCGCAACGATTCTGCACACGAAATTTCGTTCGAAACACAAAATTTGATGCAAACTCTTTGTTCAATATTTTTTTCCATTGTTTTTTTCGCAACGCCCTACTGAGGTGAACTGGTTTCAACAGCTGCCGTAAACGAACTGTCTGACAGATCGCGCTCATTTTTGGCATAGTAATTAAGGACAGTGCTGCCAAACTACATAAACTTAAAATATCGGAAAATATACAGCGCGCGAATTTTAAATGAGAATTTCCGAAAGCTTTTCGGTCTTAATGTATACTAATTTAATATCTTAACTGCCTTAACCAAAATATATTTATTTCTATATAATATACATTTGTAATGTATACAAAAAATAGTTAAAAAAAACAACGAATTACTTACGTCTGTCCTGTTCTACTTTGAAACTAGCTCGTATAATATCACTAGCTAGTGGATCCATACGAAAACTGAAAGGTCCACCATTGCCACGAGCCCGATCATCAGCATCCTGTGCAGCAATTTCAATAATCTTACGTGGTGATACATTTTCTGGCAGCACAGGACGATAATCTTTAAGAAACACCGGTGCATTATCATTTACATCCTTGACAACAACTGTCAAAGTAGCCGTAGCTGTGCGTGGTATTGAACCATCATCAATAGCTAATATCTGTACAAAATGTTTACTCATCGTTTCACGATCTAAAGGTCGTTGTATACTAACAGCACCTTTAGGACTTATAGCAAATTGACGTTTCTTATTTGAAGCACGAACAATTTTATAGCTGACCTTACTATGTCCACCCTGATCAGCATCGGTAGCACGAAATTGCTCTAGTACTGTGCCTACTTTGGTGTCCTCATAGACAGCCACTTCAATGTGATCACGTTCAAAATGCGGCACATTATCATTGATATCCCGTAATTTAACTACAACCCACGAATAAGCGACATGATACTTGTCATTGTCGTTATCTTCGCCCATATCATTCACTTGTATGCGAAAACGAAAACCGCTGCTTTGCATAGGATCCTCATAATCGAGCGGTTGTACAATTTTCAAAGAACCCGTACCATCACTATTTCGTACCATAGTGAATTTATCAGCACCGAAACCACTATTCGGTACGACTTTGTACTGAAATGTATTCGTTTCATCTTCATCCTGTACGGTTACTGTTAATATCGGTTGTTCCGAAATGACAGTACCATTAGTTTCGTCGACTTCGGTGAACCATTCATCTTTTGTGAATTGTGGTGGCATGTCATTTAAGTCTTTAACTCGTATGGAAGCAGTGCCAGTACCTGTGAAATATTAAGTAAATTCAAAATTTTAAAACAGAAATTAATCGTCTCAAGAGCTTAAGTGGTTTTCATATATGCACGCACGCTTATTTCGGATTACTTATCAGTGACACAACAATAAAAGACAATTTAATCCATTACTTAATAACTGTGCTGTAAGTCAAGTGTTTGGTAATGCTTACCTTTCAAGCCACCGCCATCCATGGCCACTACTTGTATGGAATAATCTGGCGTACGTTCGCGATCCAAGCAACAAACAGCTGTTTTAATTACGCCAGTATCGGATTCAATTTCGAATATGGCCGCACCCGTCTCTTCCTCAATGACATTTTTCTCAATGGAATATATGAGTTTGGCATTTGTGCTTTCGTTCGGATCATCATAATCAATGGCAGACATTGTCATTACCGGCATGCCGGCTGTGCCATTTTCGGTAATATTACCAAAGTAAATTCCCTGCGGAAATTGTGGTGCATTGTCGTTTATGTCCTTCAGATTTACTTGTATATCGGCATAGCCGACAAGTCCTTCACCACCTTCGTCTTGTGCAAAAACTGTGAAACGCCATTGTGGTCGCCCATTGGGTTGATCTCTGTCGAGTGGCTGCAAAAGATTGAAAACACAAAACATACATGAGATGCTGTAGTCATCACACAAACAAAAAAAAAGATAACAGAAATCAATTTAAGAGTTGCAACTGTTGCTGAAAGGAATTCAAGTACGTATACGGAAGAGTCAGTAAATTTAATAAATTGTTTCAATTGCGTCACTGTAAAGCGAGTGCATTTGATGTTTTTTGTAGTGATTCTATCGAAAGGATTATTTCCGCAGTGAAGTATTTGTAAGTCCTTTTTAGTTAATCGGTTGTATAAGAGTCATATTTTTCTTTATTTTTCAAAAATTTAGTTACAATAATTATAAACTATAAAATTTTATATAATCATACACAGCCATACATATTGTACATACGAGTATACTGGATAAATTAACTTTTATTATTAATCTATGCAAATGGAGTGTGGAGTTAATCAAATTTTTTAAATAATCAAATCAGTTATATCAGTTAAATTCAGTAAAAGACAATAATCGCTTGAATTACCTATTCAATATATATTTTATATAATAAAGCATCTTTCCTTACTAAAAACTGTAAGTCTTGGAGATGTCTTTTAGATCGTAGAATACAATCAATTTGAGGCATGATCGATGTTATGTGTTATATACCAAGGTATGGGATGATGTAAATAACTCAATGAAAAACCCAGTCTTCTGTTATAAGATTTTCTAGTTTTGGAAAAAAAATATTAAATTTGAATGTTTAAATATTTAAAGATAATCAAATAATTCGACTGCCTTACTAGATTACGCTATTTTACTTAGGAAAACTATAGATAAATAGTAACCAAGGTAGTTTGTGAAATGAATCGTGTTCGGTTTATAGTATCCCGAAAATGAAATCTTCCTTATATTATGTAGTTGAAGCTATGAACTTCCACTTAGTATTATTTTTTTTATTCAATTCAAAGTTGAGTAGTGACAGAGTATATGTCTATAGATGCTTTCTGTCCTCAGATAGACTCAGTTTGTTGAGATGTAGCGAAGATTATGATAATTCATAAGATATCGTTCGAACGGTGTCAGCTCTTTTCTATTGAATAAAGCTATTTTATCATAGCTGATACTAAATCGTTGATAAAATTAATTAAGCCAATATGAAATTTTTCAAAATTTTGTTGTCAAGCAGTATATATATTTTTATCACTTTTCTCTAACTCTAACTCTAAGCTTTATGACATCCTAACTCTAAGTGTGAGGAATTTTGACATCCATGAAAAAAAAAACATTATATGGATGTCATAAATTTATTTTCTTGATTCCATAAATGTCACAAACTTAAGGGATTTCGATTATTGCGATTTAATATAAATTATTTTAGATCTTAAATTTGGTTTTAAAATCGATTATGACCAAAGAAACCGTGCTGCTTTACAGAAGCTATTGTTTTAAAACAGAGGTATTTCAAACAATAATGAATTAGAACCACACAATTTTATTATTAATTAATTAATTAAATTTTTGGCTGACCATACAGCTGTATTCAGTAGTGTGCCAAATCCCTATCATAAGAGGAAAATATTACTTTTACCAAGGGTTAAACTCATGCCCTGTCAAATGTGAAGCTTAAAATCAGCGTTAATTACTTCATTATCTTCTCTCAATTATCTTATATGTCAAATATCTTTGAAGTAGAAAACATACCCTACTTGACACCATAAAAAAAACTCAATGAAAAATACATTCAACTTTCCATTTAGAGGACTGAGTGTTATCTGTTTGGTTGAGGTCAGTTGTCACCGTAAAATACCCACGATGGTTGCAGTACTTCGCTAGTACAAGGTTTTCTTTAGAAATTTTTGGGCATAGCGGAATATTTGTTCATTTTGTCTTTCTTTGTTTTGTCTTTGTTGCTGTTAACTAGCATTTTTTAGTTTTTAGTAGGGTTTAGACAGTTTGTGGTGCTGTTTTTGTGAAATTATTTGTTTTTTTGATTTGTCTCTTTTGATTTTAGTGCTGTTTGCTAAAATTTCTGAGAATTATTACAGCTGTATTGATGGTGTAAGTCAGCACTTTTGCTTGTTGTGCTACTGTGAAATTAATTTTGTGTATTTTGCTTATTTTGGCTACCGTAAGTTGCAACTTTTATGCATTTTTGGTGCTGTTAGGTATCACTTTTTCCCACTGTTGTTGTTGTTTTACTTGTTTCGACTCTGTTAGCTGGTGTTTTGATCTTTGTTTATTCTTACATCAATATACGTATACTCATTTAAGCATAGAGGGCTTATGAAAAAAAATGAAGAGTTTCACTTAGCAATGGATATGGATTTCATTTTAGAGTTTCATTAATATGCAGTGTAACATTTTCAATGCATTAAAAAAATTATATGAAGTCATAATTCAAGTCAAGATTTCTTATTCCATTTATAGAATAAGACAATCTATATAAAATCGAATAGTCTAATTTGTAAATACTGGCATAGTTTCTAGAGGGAAAAGAAGAGATGAACGTATACGCTATGGACAAAGATCTGAAGCGGTAATGGATCTAAGAAAGAGTTATTAAAATTGAGATTTATTTGTATTTATCTGGTTTTGACTGATACAAACTCCTTGTGGAGCAAAAAATAAATAAAATATCTTTGTGATATCTTTGAATATTGAAATCAATTTAAATTTAAGTAGTTTTTTTGTAAATGCAGTTTGAGAGCCAGTAAAAGTTCTTGCTTAATAAAAACACTTCAAAAACATTTATATGTCAAAACTTTTTCTACTTTCAGTTCAACTGACCATAAATCTAGCAAATCGCTGATGATTTATGCACTTGTTTATCAAATTTCATACTCAAAAATTTGGAAATATTCTTAGCTTCGGAAAGTTTTTATGTAGTGTGAATATTCGTATACTTCTGAAATTGAAGCTTTCTTTGTGCAAAAATTATATGATATGCATCTGCAATACACTCGTTTGCTACATTAAAGTTATTGTGGAAGATTTATCATATTCCTTACTAGTTTTTGTTTTCCAGTTTTCGGATATGTTATAGTATATCACTGATGTTATGTTCGGCACTGTAGTTACAACTGCGACTACTGACGATTATGCATACATGTAAATTCCTGATGTTTGAAGTTTAGTACATAGTTGTGCTCCAACTATGTTAAAGTGCGTATCCATAATATGGCAATGCGGAAACTAAGTGGAGTTGCAACCACAAACTGGTGGCTATGCAAATGCCTTTAGATACCGAGATACCGACATGTATGTCAATGAACAGTGTTGTTGTTAACGCTGTTAATGCTGTTGCTGTTGCTTGTCGAAAATGTTGAAAATGTGGAAAATGTTGCAAATGCTGTCATGCTAAAGTTATGAGTGACTCTGCTGCATGTTTTGCTACTGCAAGTCCAGGATTTCAGTTGCACTTGTGACATTACACAGACAAACTGTAGCAAATAATAAGCCCATATAAGTGGGTGTGCCCAAGTCATAACTTTTTCTTTAATTTTTGATTCAAAAAATCTATTCCAATTTTTTGGTTTTGTTTCAGATTTTAGTGTTTGCTAGTTTTGGAAACACTTTTTTTTTTTGAGTTTGAGTTTTGAGTTCTGTTACTCCCCGCTAATCTGCATAAATATTGTGCACAAATCGAGAGCATTTCATGTTAGAAGCACTATTAAATTTAGCTTCAAAGCAACTAATTTGCATACGACTATATGCGATCTTACATACGACTATATTGCATTGCCATTACGTATATCCTTCAGAGGAAATTTAAGAGTTTATTGTGTACTCAGTGCTAGCATTAAAGTGTTTTGCTTTTTGTATTTTGAATTTTGCAGAATGAGTTTAATAAAATTAATTAAATTATGTTTCCTCTACTTAAAAGCTCACAAGTATCTACATTTACATGTAAGTGCATGTGTTTGAATAAACCACTGAATGCATTCCAGTGTGCATCTGGCAAATGGATTCGAAACTTCATTCAAGTCAAGAAGTAAAACATTTCAAAAAATCTTGAGTGTACTTAATTCTGCACATATTAAGTGAGAGTACTGCGCTTTTAACTTGCAAGATATTTATTAAATTACACTTAAGAATAATTTAATATGATTATATCGTATGCGATGTTTTCATTAAATTCATTTCAAAATAAAAAAAAAATGCATAAATTGGAAAAAAATATAAAAATTTCTTTTTATAAAATTTTACCAGCAACTCAGGAAAACTATTTCCTGTTCCTTCCTATCTGTTCTTTTCTAAATGATGGAATTTCAACAAAAATTCTATTTATTATAAGCTCTACTTCAAGACGCACAGTTGGTACATTTTGGGCGCCTTAATTTGGTACACATTCACAATAAAAAATACTCAGTAAATAAATAAGTCAGTAAGTAAGTAAGTAAGTATGTAAGTAAGTATGAAAGTATGTGTGTGTATGTATGTGTGTAAGTAAGTAAGAAAGTAAATAAGTAAGTAAGTAAGTACGTAAGTAAGTATGTAAGCAAGTAAGTAAGTAAGTAAGTAAGTAAGTAAGTAAGTAAGTAAGTAAGTAAGTAAGTAAGTAAGTAAGTAAGTAAGTAAGAAAGTAAGTAAGTAAGTAAGAAGGTAAGTAAGTAAGTCAGTAAGTAAGTAAGTAAGTAAGTAAATAAGTAAGTAAGTAAGTAAGTGAATGAGTAAGTAAGTAAGTGAATGAGTAAGTAAGTAAGTAGGTAAGCAAGTAAGTAAGTAAAACAGTAAGTAAGTAAGTAACTAAGTAAGTAAGTAAGGAAGTTAGTAAGTAAGTAACTAAGTAAGTAAGTAAGAAAGTTAGTAATAAGTTAGTAAGTAAGTAAGTAAGTAAGTAAGTAAGTAAGTAAGTAAGTAAGTAAGTAAATAAGTAAGTAAGTAAGTAAGTAAGTAAGCAAGTAAGTAAGCAAGTAAGTAAGCAAGTAAGTAAGTAAGTAAGTAAGTAAGAAAGTAAGTAAGAAAGTAAGTAAGTAAGTAAAAAAGTAAGTAAGTAAATAAGTAAGTGAGTAAGTAAGTAAGTTAGTAAGTGAGTAAGTTAATAT